AGGATTTAAGGCCATTTAAAAACCACTGGAGGTTTCTAGTCACCTTGCACCACTGCTTTACACAAATTTCCTAAATATAAGCTTTAAAAAACCTCCAATATTTAATAATACTGAAAGCAGGATTTTACTAATATAAAATTCAAAATTCACAAAATTCTAATCTTTTATCAACCACCACATCAAATTTATTTCAATATTCAGCTCTGTTGCAGTTTTGAGAAATCCTAAGTCAGTGCCAAGAACCACGAAGGTCTGAGATTGGACCCTCCTTGTGAGCTGTGCTGGTAGCCCCTTGTCCCCAGCACCTCAACAGGTGAAAGGAGCATCCTAATGACAGACAGTTCAGAGCTGTGCAGGCGTGATGGTTAAGGCACCCACCCAGTCGCTTCCAGGGCCCTAGGTGGGGCCACCGTGGTGAGGCGAGAGAGTGCCCAGGAGGTCAAAGAATTTATACACATAACCTGGAGCTCTGGCAGCAGGTAGGAGATATCTGTAGGATTTTCCCCTGTTGAATCCTTAGGTGTCCAAAATCTGCTCTCATTTTCACATTTAAGCTACACAGGTACATATTCAACAAAGTCAATTCCATCAAGCTTTAAACCACTAAGACCTCTTCAGAGGGTGAGACACCAAGGATGGCAGGCAAGGCCTCCCACATGCCAAGGATGAAGTTCTCTGCCATGTTGACATGTGAAATCTCCCACAGCCAAGGACACTGATGAGCCCACCCACACAACATGCAATCCAGGGCCATGGGCCATGAGCCCAAGAGGCTGGATCCTGCTGTTCTGGTCTTTACAAACACACACAAACCCAGAGCTTTGAAGGGAAGTTTATCTCTTAAAGGGACTCTGATCATGGATTTTAAGTAGACAACTGTGTTGTACTGTATCTATTTAAGCTCTGATTTCAGAGGAGCTGATATAGTAAAATTTTATTAAACAAATAACCACTCCCCTAAGTGATTTAAGGGACTTTGCTCCCATATGCTGCACAAATCCAGACGGTTGTGATGATGTTTAAATAAAGTAAGACTATCTATAGAGAGGGTGTTGAACCTGCCACCTGCCAGCATGTCCTTATGGTCCACATAGTCAGTGGCTCAGCCTGCTGTCCTGAGAGGCATCTTTAAGCTGTAGATTGTTCATCTAAAATAACTAAGAGACCTGCAGCTCCAAACAAAACACAAAAAGATGAAGGTCGAGCTTAGTGGCTAAAGGAGGAAGGGAGGAAGGCCCACAGCCCTGCCTGCTGGCCCACCTCCTGGAGCTGCATCAGGCTCTCAGGATAGGGTCTGAAAGGATCCAGGGGAGAGCTGTGTCAAGGTCTCAAGTGTCAAGTGGCAGGGTCAGATCCCGGGTCCTTTCACCTCCAAAGCAGCATCCTTCATTGCTGTGCTCTGCTCAGCAGTGATGGCTCTGCTCCCACCTCCCTCTCCACATGGCCACAACCACAAGTCCCCTCCCTGAGACCTAACGGCATGCTGGGAAGGAACAACGTGCTGAAAAGGGGGACTAGCAGGGAAACTCATAACGATTCCCCAGCTGGACCATCTACTCTAAAACAGTTTAGAGCCGGTGTGCTCAGCTAAAGAATGGCCCCAAAATGTCCACATCCTGATCTCCACAGATGTGGTGCCTCACGTGGCAAATGGAACTTTGCAGATGCCTTGGATACTCGGGTGGGCCCAGTGTGATCACGGGGTCCTTAAAAGAGGGAGGCAGAGGGAGATGTGACCACAGAAGCAGAGACTGAAGTGATGTAGCCACAAGGCAAGGACTGCAGCAGCTCTAGAAACTAAAAAAGGCAGTAACAGATTCTACACTGGACCCTCCAGACGGAATCAGCCCTGCTGACCCCTTGGTTTTAGCTCCCTAAGACTCATTTTGGACTTCTGACTTCCAGACTGTGAGAGAATAAACTTGAGCTGTTTTAAGCTCTCAGTTTGGGATCTTTTGTTACGGTGGCAACAGGAAACTTGCACAGCTGGCAAAGTCTACACACACAGAGAAAGGTGCCTGGTCCACAGGTACCCTAGGCGCCATGCCAAGGACCTGTCCCCAACTTACCAGCTGGGCACTGAACTCCGGCAGCATCACACAGGTGGCTCCCACCCACAGTGGACACAGCAGCTTGTTGACTATGCCATGGATGTGATGCAGCGGGAGGACGTGGAGGATCACGTCATCTTTAGTCCATGCCCACTTTTGGACCAGCCCCGTCACCTGCAGGACAACAGCACAGCCTCAGACAGGAGGGAAGCCACCACGCAGATGGAGGAAGTTAGATGGGGCCTCCCCAGCTGAGCGGAGGAGGAGGAAGGACAACAGCACAGCCTCAGACAGGAGGGAAGCCATCACGCAGATGGAGGAGGTTAGACATCCCAACTGAGCGGAGGAGGAGGGGGAAGAGAAGGAGGAAGGCTAGTTCTTTGTTGCTCCATCCTTAACAGCATCTACAGAAGATGGTAATGAAATGATGAGGCTCTGAGGGTCTGTGTTTTTCCTGCTTACTCCCACGCTGGAGAACAGGGCCGTACAGACAGGAGCTTTAGCCAGCTCGAAAGGGTTTTTGATTTGGGATCTCATGGCCTCTGCAAACACTCTTAGTGGCTTCCCCCCAGGTAGACAGACATGCAATTTTGGCTCTGACAGGCCCTGGGATTTGGGGCCTCACTAGAAGCCAGTGTTGAAGCTAGCCACCCAACCCACACTGCACCTCAGAGATCCCTGCTGCTTCCAGCACCATCCTCACTCCAGCTCAGCTGTGAAGAAACCCAGAGCGGGGTGTCCACGCATATCCTCAGCTTTTACTGAGAAGCAGTGTGAGACTTGCCCATTTGAATCTTCTGAAGTCACCACTGAGCACATAGTCCTACATGCCTCAGTGACCGCTATGTCAAACACATGTGAGATGCTCACTCTCCTTAGAAATATAAGTCAAGAGACGGTCTCTTCAGATGAAAAGTGCGTCTCCTCTAGGAGGCAGAGGTACCATATCAATAGTGCTTCCTTGCAGCCAGCCGGGACTGTTTACCACTGACTTATAAGACTGAGTTAGCCTAAGACTCGATGGCATTGACCTCCTTCTTGTGGTTTGAACTTCTGTTTTATTTTATTGCTCCTACTGTATAAGAGTCTTTATTGTGCACTGAAACAGTTTTTGAAAGGAAGAAGAGTGTAAATTACAGATAAATAATACAGCTGAGGAGTTTTGCAAAGATGGTAACTAAGACTACAGAACACAAAAACAACACCCAAGACATGGGCACATGTGAGCTCCTCCTTTCAAGTTTCCCAAATAAACCATTTTAGGTGCTAATCATACATCTTCATATTTGCTTTAAGGCTGGTCTTGGAAGACCACCTCAACATCATGTCTAGTGACCCAATCTGTCCTGCACATGCCATACAGCCCAGAGGGAGGCCCTCGATAGGCCTATAAAGCCTACACTTGAATGCTTCTTTCTGTTGTCCCTTTCCCAGGAGCTGTCGTACATGGTTTAGTGGGACTCCTGGTCACACGGCACTGTGACTGCATGTTTCAGGTGGAATTGGTAGGATGGTGACAGCTGTGAATGGTTCTACAGAAAAGTAAATGAATGTCATCCCACCCCCAGAGGCCATGCTATAACTGCTGCCATAACTGCCTGACAGAGACACAGCAGACCTCTCCCAACAGCGGTGGCCAGAGCACACACTCACCATAGCCTTGATGTTGTGATGGGTGCTCAGGACGCCCTTAGGCCTTCCTGTGGTCCCGCTGGTGTAGATGATCATGGCGCCCCGATCTCTCCAGTCCCGCTCCGGCAACTCCCCCTCTCCAGGCTCCTCGGCCGCCCCACTGTATATTGCAGGTGAGAGAGGCAGGAGCGGGACCCCCAGTTTCCTGACTACCGGATTCAGGAGCTCCACATACTCCTGGCCGGCAAGGACCATGGAGCTCCGGGAGTCCTGGATGAAGTACTGTAGATCGGCCTGGGGGTGCTTCCTGTAGAGAGGGACAGCGATGCCTCCGCTCATCCACGAGGCCCACTGTGCAACCACGTAGGAGACGTCATTGGAGCACATAAAAGAGATCCTCTCCTCTTGGAGGTCCCGGCTGGCATGCTCTCGGAGCCTGCAGATCTCCTGGGACAGGCGGAGGCTGTGGCAGTAAAGGTCCTTATACGTGTGGCTGCCATGTTGGTCAATGAGGGCAACTCTGTCCCGAAAGACCAGAGCACGGGTAAACACCGGGGCACTCCTGTCAGAGTGGGTTGCTGGAGCCACATGCAGATGGCAGCTTCTTCCATATCTCAAGGGAGCCAGCCCGTGGGAGGCCACTGCACGGACCAGGTGCCGGAAGGACATTACCACGTGAGGTATCATCACACTGACAAGCATCAACTTGGTCTCTTTGGGGTGGGACTGGAAGAGGAAGAGAGGGCACCACGTGTTACTGCACCTGATCATGTCCTAATGCACCCGAAGAAGATCTAAAATCTCCAACCAGACAAGTTCACCTTTCTCCATCATAATGTACATCCTGAATAGGAAATGCTGACTCTCACAACGTACCACCTTTGGAATTTAAATGTCCAACATTTCAGCTTTTTATTTAATCTCATTAGTTTAAGGATTTCAAAAACATACAAGATTCCAAAACAATGAACTAAGTAAAACCGAGAAGCACAAAGAATTCAATGAACTTGTGGGGAAGGGGGAAACCCCCCTCCCCTCCTCTGGTTCTTTTGGCTGGTGGACAAATCAAATCAACAAGAGACAGATTGACAAAGAAAATCAAATTTAATTTCATGCGCATGGGAGCCCCACATACATGAGAGAATCAGAGACCCCGTGCGTGAGAGGTTCATAGATAGAAAGGGAAAATAGGTACACAGGACATCTGAGCTAGGGATGAGGTAAGGCACCTTGGGGTCTCTGAGGGGAGGAAGGTCACAGCAGTACGATTAAAAGAGTAGATGGTCAGTAATTAGAAGTTCACCCTGCCATACAGATAGGTCAGAAAAGATTATCTCTGATAATCTCTATTGTGGGCAAAGCTCCTAATTCAAATTCCTCTAGATAGTTAAACGTGAGGGGACTAGAAGTTTCTCTGGAGCCCACAGGGTCTTGGTTGCCTTTAGTTCAAAATAATCCGCACACCACTGAGACACATCTCGGGGTGGCTTATTCCAAACCCCCACACACTTAAGGTATATTCTGAATAATGGTTTCAAAAATCTGAACATGGAAAAAGACTAGCTAAGAGGGGTAAGTACTAACAGCCACTGAGCAAATGTTTTCTCTCCATCAGCAGGCAAAGCCTTGAGAGTCCAGGGAGCGCACACAGACTCAGGACTCACTTCTGCTCTTGAATGCTTCCCAAATGGTGGATATTTGGGAACTTAGTGATGTACACGGTCTTAAAGAAAGCAAGATCACGGGTCTAAAGTTTCAGTCTGTTTTTTTAAAGCTGAAACATAATTCTTCCCTTTTTTCCCCAAAATATAACTACTAAATAAAGACCAAAATGGTGAGCAAGAAGTGAGAACTTGCTGGAAGGAGCTGTGACCAGCTGACTTTCAATTAGAGTTCTTCAGAGTCAGGGAGAAAGGAGACCTGGGAAGGGGGCCAGGTAGCCACCAGCGGTCCGTCAATCCAAAGTGCCTGACTTCAAGAGCTGGTGTGACTCTGGGGCCATATCCTGCTCTAAGACACTGACCCATGGGGACAGTCCCGTGAGTGGACACACACTTTCCAAATTGCTTCTGCACTGACGGCAGCTTACAACAAGTTTAGCTCAGTTCAGACATCAAGCGCCCACCCACTACCCGAGACTCCTTACTATCAGCATAATTGAAAACGGGTCCTTCCCAGCACTAGTGTGGCCTATTAAGGTCAATACCTATTTGCTCTGGTTTGAAATCTCCAATTTCACAGCTCTTTGAGGAATCTTTCCTCCCCACTGTAGCCTCTGAATCTGAGAAGGGTCTCTGCGCCTCCCTCCCTGAGCAGCTCCTGGCCTCTGCCCCGCTCTCAGCTTTAGCTGTGGCTCTGGGTCAGAGCAGGGTCTGTGACGGGAGCTGAAAAGTGGATCCAGAAAGATTTTTAATAAGTATTATTTTGACAGTAATAATACACTTAACATATTATGCTGTTTTTATCTTGTAATTTCACCTTTAGCCACCCCGTTCAGTAAACAAGGCAGCAGCTTTTAATCTATTTTACACACGAGAAAACTCAAAGTTGCTCAGCTCCTAAACCAGAGTCAGGAGCCCAGCTAGAGCCTTTCCACCCCCAGCCATCTCTTCCCACCATAATCACCCACCCCAGAAGCCCATAGCTACTTTAGCCCTAATGAAATGCCTTGATGGCAATTTTGTAGTGGATGGAATGCAACTCTAGCTGTTCCCACGGTGGAAGTGGGGAGGTAGAAGGCACAGAGACTCCCAGAAGGCACTTCTGAATGCCAGGGGCTGACAGGATGCCTGCCAATGGGCCATCCAGCAACATTATAGAATAAAAGCTGTAAATCTCGACCCACCCCGCCACTTCCAACAGGCCCCGAAAAACGGAAGGTCAAGAATCACCTAGCAGGTGGCCCTGCTCAGCAGGAGGTGACCCAGGATGCCCCCAGGCTGGCACTGCCTCCCTGGGAGCTCTCTCTCTGTCTTTTACACCCTGCCCACATCCTGCTGCTCCGAGGGATCTCCTTCCCTCATGTTCAGCATTTCTCCTGGATAAATCCTCACTTTTCTCTCTCTTTCATTAACTTGCTATAGTGGGAAAACCAATGTGTTGTTTGTTATATGTACTAAACAGTTTTGTTCTCTGTTCTTAATTTAAAAAACAGATTACACACAACACTTCATAATTACCTAACAAAACAAACAAACTCCACAACAACAAAAATGGCCGGAGCCGAGTTATGCTTTGAACTGGGATCCTCACGTGTAGACTGGGCTGTGCCTGTTAGCCTCCCAGGCTGGCTTCTGCAGCCAAGGGCTCCTGGTAGACAGTCAATCTCTCTGTCTGGCCAGCTGGGGAACAGCTCCAGCTACCAGTCTAGGCAGGAGGAAACTGAGACCACAGAGACACCCCTCTCTGCCCCCAGGGGCTTCTGGTGGATCCCTCTCACCTCTGGCAGGTTGTTCTCAGGTCTTGTGCAAATATTCCTTAAGGCTCCACGGCCTTTACCAAAGTTCAGGTCCAAATACACTTGCCCATACTGTTTCCAGATGAAAGAGGCCATCTATCAAAAGTCAGAGAATGTCCTAGGACTACTCCATGATCTCTCCATGCTCTGCCCTCCGCATATGGTTCAGAGGTAGGTTCACAGCTGGTTTTACAACCTGGATTTCTGTTACTGTAAAGAAACCTGACATACTGTAAGAAAGCAGGTGGGCTCAACCAGAGAAAACAAGAAATGTGATAAACATGTGTGACAGGCCAGTTTCAGAAAGTAAGCCAGTGAAAAGCAAACCAGGGCAGCTTTAACATGTTTCCTTTTCTTTTAGCAAATTCTTCTCTATTTGCTTTGGAGGTTAGGGGGTGGGGACAGAGGGACGAAAACAAAGACAATCTTCAAACAGAAAACCTGCTATATGGTATTTTTGGATTATGGCTAAGGCCAGTTTCTTGCCAGTGAGAGAGCACTCAGAGAGATGTCCTATGGGTGCTAGTTGAAAGTGACATTTTCTAGGGTGCTATGAAGCAACTGGGTACAGCTTACACAGACACAAGGAAGACAGATGGATACCCCAAGGAGCTAGGAAGCAACTGCTTCTTCTACCCCTCTCCCCAGGAGGCATCAGAGGGGTGTCAGATTTAATGTCATAACTGTGGTCACCAAAATCAACATGACTCTCTTTTCTTCAAGGCCTCCTCTTTGGGAGTCTTAGAGAACAGGAACCTCTCATCTCTGCCTGGTTCCCCCAGGGCCCCCAGTAGCTGCACCATGCTTAAGGAGGGGGCAGTCAGCTTGCGATGGAAAACTGGAAAACGGGGCTGAAGCACCCTCCCTCCCTAGCCGGGGGCTTCAATTGAGGGCAGGACGGTGGCCAAAAATCTACTGTGTGCTGGGAATAGCTGTAGTGAGCAGTCATAGCAACAACTCAAAGAAATAGGCCACAAAATAACTGGTGAAACAGTGATCCAAACTCAGGCCTGGCTAGTCCCTTGTGTCTGCCACACCTAAGAGTCTGTGATGAGGAGGAGCATCTGTGATGGGGAACTGCCCTGAGAGAGGACATCACACATTAATTCAATGGCGCCTCACAGGCTGCACGTAGGGCTGCCCAGTCCAGGTGTGGTCCAGGGCATCCATTCAGCATCAGAAATGGTACTTCACAATTGCTTCAAAATGAGATATGAAAATAGGAAATGTGGGCCATTTGTTCCATGACTGTATTTTAAAATGTATCCTAAAGAAATAATCAGAGGCGAACATGAACATGCACATATGGGGTATTCAGTGCAGTGTTATTTATAATATTGAAAAACTGGAACTAAACGAAGTGGTCCAGAAGAAGTCTGAGGAAATCAGGGCACACACAGTGGAGTGTTGGGGCCATAGCCAGACTGTGGGTGGCAGGAGCTGACTGGGAGAGGGAAAAAGGATGGTCACTTAAAAAGACGACGAGGTAAACACCCAGATGTTCACAAGGTTACAAGGTGGCTGGTGACTTTTGTTTTACTTACAGTGCTTCTCAATTTTCTCCAACTTTTTCTGCAATGAGCACGTATGACTTTTATAATCAGATTTTAATGTCATTTACTTTTTAAAAATGGAGAGCTTCAACTTCAGTATTAATATTGTCTTTTATACATAGACAAAAATACCAAAAAAAGGTGCTGTGGATGATAGATCCACATACAGTGTGTATGTAACTGTTTAGAGCTCTTTAATTTCTCAAAATGATAGAAGCCAATAAAAATAAGATAATAGCATTCTTCTTTTAAAGCATAAAAGGTCTATGCAAAAAACAAAAAAGTAAGTTCTGACGAAAGCGTTTCAAATGCATGCTGCACTAACACCGAGCTCCGAATAGGCCATGCATCTGCAGCAGCAGAGACCTGGGTACCACTCCCCACTCCTGCCACTGCATCTCCTGCCACCAAGTCTCTGAGTGTCTGGGAGGTGGCAATAACTAGTCAGGCTTTGCATGGGGATGGGCGTGAGCCAGACAGACACAGTCCCAGCCTCTTGAGCAGAGCACTCCTGCAGACAAGTCTTCTTGGATGGACCAGTATAGCTAGAGCTCAGAGTGAGAAGAAGCCAGCCAAGCAAACATGCAGGAAAGGAGACGGGTGGTGATTGTAATTGTGCTTATACCAGGTGTTAGTGGAGCAGATGCTCAGAAGTGGCCCAGCATGATGCTCACTGCGGAGCCTCATAAGAAAAATCACTTTTAATTTGGGTAAATATTGCCAGAGTCGCCTTCAGAGAGGTTGCAGTAATTTGTTCTCCCACCAAACATGTGGGAGCATGGGGCCACCATCCCTTCAAAACAGGTTTTATGTCCCTCAGGTATGTGGCCCTGAAACCATTCCATCATAAATTCTTTCGCTACAGGGCTAAACTCTTCAAGATCATGGGGACCAGGGCTCTGCTTTGAACAGATAAAAATCTGTTCAGGGCAAATGACTGTCCTGAAATCTTCTAGGTCCAGAAAGACCAAGAGCTCCCTCAGAAAGACAGTCTCCACCTTTCAACCACAGGGCTTCCCATGGTCGTGAGGCTCCCCATCACTCCCAGTGGCACAGCTGCCACCAAGTAAATGCAATTCAGCCATGGTTTTCTCTTTTTCAATTAACTAACTTGCTCTCAGCACCTAACCAACCCGAGATAACCGATGTCACCATGCATCGCTGTGAAAGCACAGAAACCTGCATTCTGGTGAGCAAGGATGGCCTTCTTCCGGAGGACGACATATTGCTCTCAGATTCCTCTGGGAGGCAGGAGCCCAGCCAGAGACTTGGTAGAGACTACTTGGTGTTCTAACCATTCAGAGTCTTACTATCCCAGGTTCACAGTTAGACCGTCAAGGCACACAGACCTCTCAAAACCATCAGCCAATGCCAGGAAGTTTGCATCTTTTGGTTAAGAGCTCAGATTTTAGAGTCAACAGATTCAGACTGGAACATCCTCCTTTATTCTTAGTATTCTTCACCTGTCTAAGCCTTCATTTCTCCATCTACAGATACAGTATGAACAAGACCTGCACACACAGTTCTGTGAGAATGACCTGGCACACGTGGATGGGGAAACAAATGTAGGTACCATCCTTAGCAAGGGACTCGCCATGGAGACGCATGACAAAAATTACTTGATAAGAATGATACTTGCATTCAAATGAAGGTGGCTGGTTTCAAAATGAGTAAAATGGCACCTGACTGATTACCATTACCCTGACCCCCACCCCCCACCACCCTGAATTTAAAGCTGACCCCAGCACTTCCTGTTGTCTGCTGCCTGGTGAAGGTATGAGGTGGGAGAAATGGACTGCACTCTTCCTGCGGTGGAGGACATTAGTTTCAACACGATGCCTGCGGTTTGGCGGGGTGGGGGTGGAGGCAGGGTTGTTCTCAAAGTTATATTTTTAAGTAACAGACATTCTCACTGCATTCATGAGTACTACATTCAAATCAAAAAACCAAAAGGGAAAAACATACACCTAACCCCCTATCCATATTAGGAAGTAAAATACTATTTGAAAAATGACATCTAGAGGGAGGAAGCTTACTATCCCAGGCTCACGGTTCAATCCACCAATTCAGTCTGCCCCGAAGAGGGATTCTGGAACACGGAGTGGCAGTAAGAAAGCCTCCTGGGCTGGGAATCAACAACTCCCCAAACACATAATTTCTGTTCCCACCTCTAAGTTCTCATTCTTTCCCTTTTTGGCAAACTCCTCATCATCCTTCAAAGCCCTGCTCAACATCACCTTCTCTTTAAAGTCTCCCCTCTCTTCGGAATGTTGCCTGCTCACAAGGCCTTCAAAACATCAGGCACTTACATATTGCCACGTTTTTTGGACATGAACATTCCCAGAGGAGCTAAGCCGGCTTTAAAACTGCAGAGCACAGAGCAGAGCAAACAAACAATAAAATGGGCGGGGGTGCAGGTACTTCAAGGTTGATTCCTGCAGGCCTACTGAGAACGGAAATGGATTTTAGAAGCAACAGATCAAGTTTCTAACGATGGCTGAACATGAACTCGACGAATTCCAACATCCTTTCGGGAATGCTGCGTGGGGAGGGACCCCTGCTCCCGCCCCCACTCGCTCTGAGGGCAAAGGTTCCTTCATCTGACATGGGCACCTGCGGCCAGGTAGAGGTCACAGGAGGAAGAGGGCGGGGCCGGGACGCGGGGCCAGCAGCCCCAGTAGCCGTCGGCCTGGCCGGATATCTGTGGGG